AATTTGTAAGTACTTATTCTGAGAAAGAGAGAGAGAGAGAGAAAGCAAGCGAGCGAGCACGGCACAGGGGAGCAGACAGAGAGAAAGAGAGAGACAGAATCTGCCAGCACAGAGCCCGATGTGGGGCTCAAACTCACGAATCGTGAGATCGTGACCTGAGCCGAAGTTGGGTGCTTAACCGACTGAGCCACCCAGGCGCCCTGGTGGCTTAGATTTTAAAACCCAAACCCAAATGCCATAGATATTGAGTGCCGAAAGCCACTAAAACACAGACTGAATGACAAAAGGCAGGAGGGAGCAGAAAACCACACCGGAACAGCTCCCAGCTATGGGAAGCTGATGTCACCAAGCTGGCTCTGCGCTTCCTGGGAGCCCAGACCGCAAGGAAAAGCATCCCTGGGGGCCTCCCGCTGGTGACACGCGAGTTCGCACGCAAGGTTCCTGTCCTGACACCCTCCTGGAAGATGCAGCTGCCTGCCTGGAGATGGGGCCCCGCTCTGGGGGTGTTAACGGCACCTTGCGACGCTTCTCACACATTTCTTCTTCACTGCCCGCGAGCTAAAAGCAGAGCACCCCTGGCGGCCCGGTGCCCTGCCAGGGGTGGGCTTCCGCTGGTTTCTCTGTGGTCACCACGCCAGTGCGGGTCCTACCTGCGAGCATCAGAGAGAGGGTGGGAGGGTACCCCAAAGGCTGACGCCTACAGGCCACAAGCTGGAACATGGCCGGGCCAGGCCAGTAACGTCATCGGTGAACTAGGAGGGGCCGTCGTGAGGGGCGGAACCCAGCTCCGTCCCTTACCTCTTACCATGAGGACTCTGAGGCTGGGCGCGGTGGGGGGTGGGGATGTGGGGGAGAAGGAGATGCAGGGACCTGCAGAGACCCTTCTGGTTTCCCTTTATGATGAGCCCCATGTGATTTACTGCTGCAGGGGCATGTGCACAAAGCTTTAGGGGCAGTCTACGCCCCCCAACCCCCAACTGGCTGCTGGAAGCCATTCCTGATTTTCTCCATGAGCACCTCCTGTCCGGTCCGGGGGCAAATCGGGCGCTTGGGTGAGGGGGCGTTTCTAACACCTCCTTTGAGCCAAGCCTGAGCAACCACAGGGGACCCCTGGATCACCAACTGGCTGCACCTCAAAAGGCTTCAAGACTTTTATTTCTGGTGGCACTTGAAGAGGTGACATGTCCAACAAACAAAAACAGCTGGGGGCCTGCAGGACCCCTGAGCCTACAGCTCTGTATCCACAGACAAATCCTCTTGGATTTTAAGGACTATACTCGAAAACCTGCAGGAAAGAAAAAATGGCCTTTCAGCGTCTGGCTTTCTTCTCTGTGCCGCCTCTGCCCCAGCTTTGCCCCTCAAGGTGGTTCTGCGCCCGGGTGAAGCCTGCCCGAGGGGGCTGCTGTACCCCCGCGGGGGCCGAGGCCTCGATGGCCCTTCGGTGGCGGGGCGTGTCTGGGCTGTGTGAACACCACCGGCACCTTGCTGCGCTGGGACCCTTTTCGCTGTCTTGGACTCGGGTACCCTCTCCGGCCACAGAGTGTCGGTGGCATGCGGGGGGCGCAGGGGGCCTAGGTGTCTCGAGACTCAATTCTGGGGGCATCGCCTCGCTCTGGAGTTTTAAAAAGGAAGGCGGCTGCCGGGACCTGGGCTTCATTCCCGAGCCCTGGGCCCCTGCCTTGCCCGGCCCCTGCCCTTTCCGGAGGTATTACCGTCTGTACATCAGTAAGCAGAGAGCGCCACAACAGTCTCCCAGCAGAGGCGCTAGAAAGCTCAGCAAAGGCCATCTCGACTGCCTCTCTACTAAGGCGGGAACCAGGGCTGCAAGAGCAGGGAGATGGAGGCGGGTTACACAGCTGTCAGGGCGAGGGGGTCACCGACCTCCGACTCCTGTGGTCCCGGCACCCAAGGGGGCAGAACCTGGAGCCACTGGCCAGGGCTGGGGGTGGGGGTCAGCCTTGCTTGCAAAGGACGCCCCCCCTACCGAGGCTGTCACCAGCCTTAGAAGTGCCTGGTTCTTTCTGCCAACTGGTTCATCTCAGCAGCCCTGCCCTGTGCGCTCAGGCCACGGCGGGGTTAGGGCCACACCGACACACGCCTGCCTCGTGTGTCCTACCGAGTGGTGTGTGCACAGGGGCCGGGGAATCCGTGTGCATCTTCTGCAGGAGGTGTGTGCCCTCGGCACAGAGGAACACACTCCCCGACACAGCCGTGTGCGCCCGGCCCTGGCTGCACCTGCACTTTGCCAGGACTCGGGCCCCGCAGCAGGGGGTGGTTACCCAAGCCCCTCCTACCGGGTGCTTTACCAGACTGGGGGCAGGCCAGGCCAACAGATGACGACATCTGGTTACACGTCATCCACAAACGAACTGGAGGTACTCTCTGGAAGTACGTGAGTCCGACAGAATCAGGGAGTGCGTGCAGAGCGGCACAGAGAGAGATCTCGATGGGTGCTGGCCCAGAACAAGCTTCAAAAGCCAAACGCGAGGCCCTCGAATAGATAAGGACTTTATTGCCTCTGTTGTGCCAGGGCCTGTGGGACCCAGGCAAGCAGGTGGCTGCACACACAGCTCTGTCATCTGCAAGGGAGGAGCCCTGAGAAGCCCATGCTGGGCTCTGGGACTGGAGTGCCCACTCTGGGCACTGGGGACAGAGGTGAAGGCAGCGCCCCGGGCCTGGCCACCCCACGGGGGCACACGAGCACAAGCGAGCCATGTCACGCTGCAAGCCGGCGTGCGCTCAGGTGCCAAGGGTGACAGCAGCACGCCTTGCAGAGCGGCAAGGCCAGAATGAGGTGATACAGTTCAAGTGTAGAGTTGGTGCTGTTTTGATGACTCAACTGCATGGTACCTAGAACTTGGGTCCAATGAAGCAAGAATTGAGTACTTTCATTTTTATGTCTTTTCTTTTTTCTTTTTTATATAACAAATTTTAATGTTTATTTATTTATTTATTTTGAGAGAGAGAGAGACAGAGACAGAGTGCAAGTGGGAGAGGGCAGAGAGAGAGGGAGACACAGAATCTGAAGCAGGCTCCAGGCTCTGAGCTGTCAGCACAGAGCCGGACGTGGGGCTCATGATCTGAGCCGAAGTCAGATGCTTAACTGACTTTCTACCCAGGTGCCCCACTTTTCTTTTCTTTTCTTTTTAAAAAAAGTTTATTTATTTATTTTGAGAGGGAGAGTAAGAACATGAGTGGGGGAGGGGCAGAGAGAGAGAGAAGGAGAGAGGGAGAATCTCAAGCAGGCTCTACGCTGCCAGCACAGAGCCCAATGCGGGGCTCGAACTCACGAACCATGAGATCACGCCCTGAGCAGAAATAAGAGTCGGACACTTTACCGACTGAGCCCCCCGGGCACCCCTACCATGTTTATGTGTCTTTCCCTACCCAGGGGGTATGTGGCTCAGCTCTCTGGAGAAAACAGCACATCACAAAGCAAGATTCTTCCTCCTGTGATCGGTTGTGACTGAAGGTCTTAGGAGTGAACAGAGACAAATATCTAAGTTTGAGGGATTTATATGCAAACTGTGTATGAGAAGATGGGGTTCTGTTATTTTCATCTGGATTCTTCGAATCTTGTAGGTTACACTTGGGTTCAAGACAAGCATGAACATGTTCTGTGTTTGCTCAGGTGGAGCAGAATGAAATCGTCCTTGTGAAAGATGTGCACTGGGACACACTCAAGGGGACAGGGGAGGGGACAGCCAGCTGTGCGTCCAAGCCAGTGGCTTTCCCTGGGTCTCTGTCCCTCAGTCCCCATCGCACCCCGCAGAAGCCTGTGGATCTGTGGACACACACGCATGCTCCCCTCCCCAGCTTACAGTCGTCTTTTCATTTCCAAAAGGCAAACTGCTTCAACAAAATGCTTGGAAATGATCTTGGCACTTAAGGGGGCATGCGTTCCTTGATGGAAAGCCCCGGGGCAAGGGGGCTCGCGAGGCCTCGGAGGGGCTTCTCTGATGGGCCACCGTGCCCCGCTTTCCCTCTGTGTTTCCCTGCAGATGCTAAGCTAATGTGCTCGACTCTGAAATCACCCTGGCTCTTCTGCATTCGTAGTTTTCACTTATTTTTTTTTTAGTATTATTAATATTTCATCATAAAAGTATTGATTTCCTTTAACTAAGAGACTTTAAAGTTTGCTGCATCCTTAAGCATGATTTTATTATGTCTTGGGGCCAAATGTTTTTTCCTCCCCCCCACTCCCCCACAAAGGAATGCTTTTCCTTTTATATAATGTGTGTCAAGAAGAAAAAAGGAATTGATTCACAGAATTCTGCATTCTAGGCAACTTTGAAGGAATGTATCTAGAGGGTAGACTGGATAGACATCTCCTAAACGTGCATCCAGGGTCTCACTGTTGAGCCTTTTTGTTAGAGGTCAGAGCCCAAGAACAAAATTTAGATGAAAATATGAGCTGGCTTTAAGTGGAGCTGAAACAGGGCAATTGTGACAACTCCAGACATGACCCTGAAGCTTAAAAAACTGTTCACAGGCGCCCCAGAAGACGAGGAGACATATTGCCGAGCTGGGGTCGCTTAGCAGGGGCTTAGCAGATAGTCTCCCTCCCTATTTGGGGCACCGGTATCGGAGCGCGGCTGCCGAGACAGGCAAAGGGCATCCGGGTTTTAGAGAACCCGTCCAGGAAGCGGGTGGAGGGCACTGACTGGCAAACCAAATGAAGCGCTCTGAAATGTTTAAATATTGAACAGCCTCCTTCTCCTTCCTCCACATTTATTATTAACTTGGACCCACGTGTCACTGTGTGCGCTGCCTTCATTTCTTCCCAAGAATCCATGACCCAATGGACTGGGCTCGGGGCTGGCAAGTGGGGGTGGGGGTGAGATTTGGGTTTTTTTTCCTTTCGTGCCCTCGCTGGAAATCCTTTACGGTCAGCTTGTTTTTAGAGCCACGAATTCCTGGAAACGTCTCAGCCTTTCAATGACCCCTGGCGCCCAAATGCAGATGATGAGTGCCCCAAATATTGACAGACCAGACTTTTTTCCCCTTCCCAACAAGGGAGCAGTGTCAGAGTGAGGCGGCGCGGGAGATGCCGTGCCCACTGGGCAAGCGGGGCTGAGCAAACATCACTCACACGGGCGATCTGTTGCTGGGGACCCTTGGCCCCGTCGGCTTCACCCAGGGGGAACCGATCCCCCCCGCACCAATGTCCCAAGCATCCGGTTTAAAACGAAAAAAAAATCTGTCTCCAGCTACCAGGTGTCCCTGGCTCAGTTATGACACGGGGAGGGCGGGTGGTGGTGGCACAAAGCACATCAGATGTCAGTGGTCGGGGCCCGCCGCCCGCAAACTCAGACCCAGGCCCGGCGGCGCTCCCTGAGAAGAGGAACCTTTGGGGCTGGAAATGTCCACCTAAAATCTTTCCAGATAATAGGGCAGCACCTTTCCTTGGGAATGAACAAAGGGGGCTAAGGTGGGCCATCCATCGCGCCCAGGCAGAAAGCGGCTGCCCTGCTCTGGATCCGCCGGCGAGGCAAGCTGGTTGCAAGCATTCGCCATTCCTGGGCTTTTATCTGTTCAAGCGAAATTGTCCCAAATGACCGGCCTACGGCTTCCACTTTCTTTTAAAAGACAGTGCTACGTTTGAGATCGATGTTTTCCCCTGAAATGCTGGCTAAATTTATCCTTCCCTGCATCCTGCTCTCTGGGCTCTGTGCAAGGCTGGTGAGAAGCGAGGGCCCGGCCTTGCTGAGGGAAGCATCTGTCTCTAAGGGCTCGCTCGTAGCTGGGGCACTCGAGCCCCAAGCCCGGCCTGTCCCTTTGTTCACCACGAACACCAAGCCCCCGGGTCCTCCTAAGAACCCCCCTGCCACCCCACTCTCTAAAGCCCCCGGCTTCCCGAGGTCTTTACCCCGGCTCTCAAAACCCACCCCGTTGGCTGGCTCTCAACGGGCCTAGAGGACCCCCTCCCCGGCCAGCCCCTGCCCCCCAGAGCGGCTGAGTGCTCATTATCGGATTGCCTTTCGAAGCAGTGGGCTGATGGAGGCTGCCTTGGGCCTCACGGGCTGAACTAAACCGGAGAACTTACTTCTCTCTCTTGGTCTTTTTGGCACGCTGCCCTGTGAGTGAAATGTCGCTGATTGATTTAACGCCTGATGCCCAGAAAGCCCAGTATTTTTCTGAAATCTTTATTCCCTGTATGCGGTTGCAAGAGCGCATGCCGTGAACGGACACTCTGAGCTACAGCTTCTATTCTGCCCTTAACCTGTGGTTGCTTTTTTCAGCACGAGTGAGAGATAAAATAAAAATGAGGCAGGAAGGAAGGCGCGCACATGCCCATGCTGGCAGGCACGTGCCTGCAGGCTGTGAGGATGGTTCTGTCTGGGGGCCCCAGCGGGCTGGCGTTTCCGGACAGTGGGGTACGGGTGTGCTCAGCGGGATACCCCTCGCCCCACTCCGATGTCTGGAAAGCAACCTGCAAGGTGCTGTCGAGAGCCTTAAACAGGGGCACCCTCGCTGACCCTAAGAAATCGTTTCCAGAGGCGTAACCGGAAACACAGACGAAGATTTCTATATAAGGATGTTCACCACAGGGTGAAGCACAGTGCGGGAGGAGCACCGTAAGTGGCCAGTATAAGCGGCCGGGCTAAGTCAATTCTGGCCAAACGTCAGACTGTTAAGAGTTGAACTGTGCCTCCCCAAGATTCTCACGTTGAAGCCCCAGGGCCTCAGAATGTGACCTTATTTGGAAACAAGGTCATGTGCAGACATGAGCAGTTGAGAGGAGGTCTAGGGGGGTGGGCTCTAACCCAGGGTAAGGGCTGTCCTGATGAGAAGGGAAAGCATGGACACAGAGGGGTGTG